GCCTTGGGAGTTAGGTAGCTGTGTTATCAGGTCAACCCCTACCTCTTCCCATAGACCAGATGGTACATCTAATGGTTGTGTTACGGCCCATGGGTGTCATTGGATCTTCTTACGGGCACAAACCTCGCATCCTTCAACGTATTTTTCCACGAAAGAGCGCAGCATGGGCCACCAGAAATGGGTACTGACCAAGTCGAGTGTCCCGTGTAGTCCGGGGTGTCCTGCAGTTGGATGGTCATGGCATTGACGGAGTACCTCAGTGCGTAGGTCGTTGTTTGCTGGTACGTATACCTGACCTCAGTAGTAGACCAACCCATTGTCCTCTTCCCATTTGGCTATCCCATTGGCCAAGCACTGTAGTCCATGCTCTTTGACTGTTTTGAGACCCTCCAATACCTGTGCTTCCCATTCTGAGGCTTTCCGGATATGATCCTCTAAGGGGTTCCGTAGGATCGAAGCTGCAATTTTTACGAAGTGGCCAGGTTTAAGGACTGTCTGTTGCCGGTTATCATCACTGTCCGATACATGATGAACTGCTATGCGGGAGAGAGCATCAGCTTGGGTGTTTACTCTGCCAGGGCGGTGGATCATATGAAAGTCAAACCGTGACAGATAGAGGGCCCATCGGGCTTGTCGGCGGGTGAGGTCTTGTGCAGTGCGCCAGAATTCGAGGTTCGAATGGTCCGTAATGATGTCGAATGGTTGAGGGAGTCCTTCTAGAAAGTTCCTCCAATCCTTCAGTGCTTCAATGATAGCAAGCATCTCTCGATCGTAGATTTCGTAGTTCCGTTCTGCTGGCTGCATGGATGCCGATCTGAAGGCTACCGGATGCCATTGGCTGTCGTCTTGCTTCTGCATAAGGGCGCCTCCCTTGGCAAAGCCTGATGCGTCTACCTCGATTCGAGTAGGCCTGTCTGGTGTCCATAGAGCAAGGATCGGTGCGGAGATGAAGGCTTCTCGAAGGGTGTCAAATGCTTTCTGTCGAGTGTCGGTCCAGGTAAAGCAGGTGTCTTTCTTCGTCAGGTCGTTCAGAGGTCGTGCTATTTTGGCAAAATTCCGGATAAAGTGTCGGTAGAAGTTTGCAAATCCCAAGAACCCTCGTAGTTCCCAAAGGTTAGTAGGGACGGGCCAGTCACGAACAGCCGCTACTTTTACTGGATCCATTCTCACCTCCCCTTCTGAGATGATGAGTCCGAGGTATTCAATCTGTTGTTGTTCAAATTCGCATTTTTCGGGTCGTAGGTAGAGGTCGTGCTTTTCTAACCGAGTTAATACTTCCCGTACCATTCGTCGGTGTTCCTCGAGATCGTTACTGAAGATAAGGATGTCATCTAGGTAGACTGCCACCTTGCCGGCTGCAATGAGATCAGCAAATATAGCATTCATAAGTGCTTGGAACGTGGCAGGGGAATTTGTGAGACCAAAGAACATGACCTTAGGCTCGAACAAGCCTCGGGTTGTTGCGAACGCGCCTTTCCATTCATGCCCCTTCTTAATCCGTATGTTATTGTAACCCCAGCGGACATCAAACTTCGTGAAGTATCTTGCTCCCTGAAGTCGGCTAATGATGTCAGCAACTAATGGGAGAGGGTATCGGTTCTTCACAGTGTACTCGTTCAGTTTCCGGTAGTCTTGTACAAAACGGAGTTTCCCATCCTTCTTCTTTACAAAGAAGACCGGTGATGAGATTGGTGATTTTGAGGGGACGATATAGCCTTTCCGTAGGTTTTCTTCTAGGAAACGATCCAACTCCTCCTGCTCGTTTAGGGACATGGGATAAATCTTGGTACGCATGGTTGCCGGTGCTCCAGGTACGAGATCAATCGCATGGTCCCAAGGTTGGTGGGCAGGTAATCGTTCGGAGGCGGATTCTGAGAAAACCTTCTTGAAATCACGATACTGCTCAGGGACCATTTCTTCGAAGGTTTTAACGGGTTTGTCTTGGTTGGCTTCCTCTGCTGGCTGCTGGGAGTAAGTGAATCCTGCGGCGCACCAGACTTCCTCCGTCTGTTCCTCTAGAATTCCTGCTTTTACCCATGCCCGGCGAGTTTTATGATTGGCTCGAATTCGGTGTATTGGTGGTTCTTCCACTGCTGCTGATTCACTCTGTTCAAGGGTCGCTTCTAGTGGCACCTCAATGTGGGGGTTTTCTGCGGGAGGTTCCAGTTCCGGGAGTTCGAGGATCGGGGTTTCTGTGTGAGTGGCGGCTAGATGAGAGTACAAGATCTCCTCGTCTGGGACTTCTTCTATCGTTACTTGAGGAGGCTTTACTGAAAGTCGTCCTTTCTCCCAATCAATCTCCGGATTTACCTTCCGTAGCCAGGGGAGTCCAAGGATGATGTCTTCACCTCCTAGGCTGGTGATCAGAAAGTCCATCCATTGCTCTTGATTATCCACTGTGAGTGCTAGACGTGCAAAATGGGTTATCCGTCCAGCTCGGTTAGGTGTTCCATCGATATTAAAAACGTCGATCGGTTTATGGAGGGGTGCACATCTTACATGGTTCCGGGTGACAAAGTCTTGGTTTAAAAACAGGGCGGTAGCTCCACAGTCTACCATGGCTGCAGTTGTTATACTGTGATTCCTTCCTCTTAGTCTCACATGAATTCGGAAATGTGGGGAAGTAGAGTTTAATTCCCGGATCGACGATATTGTACATGATGGGTGCGAGTCATACGAGGAAGTAGCGAACATAACAAACTGATTACGGGGTACTCTCGGTGCAGCCGAAGCGGGTACCCTCTTTAAAAACCCTGTTGAAAGCCAGAGGACGAGGAGGACATAGCATTAGCACGATCAAGTAATTCCCTTATTTGACCAATCTGATTGGAAAAGTCCTGGTTAGGGGGGCTCGGAGTAGCAGCTACGGGTGCAGGAGCAGATGTTGGGGTCGAGGACGCGATCTGGACGGATTCATTTGGGAATAGGGAGAATGGCGCAGGTACCGTAGCGGATATCTGTTGGCATCGAGGTTGCTGGCGTCGGCCTCGGTCTCGTCCGAGTCCCATGAACTTGTCTTGGCAGACTGCTTCCAGATGTCCTCGGCGTCCACAGTAGCGGCAGGTGGTTTCTCGGTGTGGGCAGTTTTGCTTGACATGACCTTGGGCACCGCAGCCGAAGCATCGTCCTCGCATGCGAGCTAGGAATGCCTCCCTAGTATTCCCATTACTGGTGTGGGTTGCATCAATGTCCATAGCGTGGGGGTCAGCAGGAGTAGTGTGAGCGGTATGCGTGGGGGAATATCCAGAATTCCGGCCGGTCATGGTGGGATCGTGCAGGTAGACATCCACCGATATGGCCCGTTTGATTGCCTCTTTCAGAGTCGGAGCAATTCCTTGGGCAATGTTTACGGTGATGAGGTGTTGTCGGATTTCTGGGAGTAATGCAGTGAAGAAGCGTTCCCGCAAGTCAATATCAGACATTTCAGTCCGATCTCCGATGTCCTTGAACTTCTGAGCGGATTCCGCAACTGTCTGTGCTTTACTTTGCCTGAGATTCTTGATCTTGCTACGGGCTTCCATACCTGGGTCCATTGGTTCAAACCATTGGCTAAATTCCTTCAGAAACATATCCCAATTTCCTCCGAAAGGGGGATTTTCCGCATTGAAAGGTAGCAGATGGGGGGTTGCCCAATCTCCGGCACTTTCTGTGAAGAAGCCCAAGGCGGACTTGATGAGTTTTACTTGGCTTTTGGCGAGATCAGGTTGTTCTGATGCCCAATTCTGGAACTGAGCCATGAAGCGACAGGCTTCAGCGCCATCTTTACCCTTGAAAACCTCGGGTTTGTTCATGCTTGACTTAGAGGATGAGCGTTCCTCCATAGCTGTAGCAAGGTTAGCTACTTATCTGATGAGCTGAGCCATGAGATCCTCCGCAGAGGTATTTGGGGCAGGTGGGACAGGAGTCGACATGATGGGAGTAGGCAATCGGGGCTGGGGAACCGTCAACCGGCAGGAAGGTTATATTGCTCACAGTGAGTGGCTCTCGGATTGAGTTTGAAAGGGCGTTGGGGCAGGGTTGAGACTGGCAATCGCGCCAAGTATCGTCGTTGTTATGGGCGTGAGCTTGGTCTCTGGGGTCAAGTGCGTGCGGGAGTGCGGAGCAGTCTATACTGGCAACATGTGTTTCAGAATCGGGCGGAACTGGGGGAGACGTGGTGTCTATAGATCCTGCAAGGACAACCTTATCGGTAGGCTGTCAGTGCAGTAATGGATCTTGACCTAATGTCACGAAGCGGCAGAGGCGGAGTGACTAAGCAAGACGGTGAGGCAGAGCAACTAAGCAGGTCAGTGAGGCGGAGCAACTAAGCAGAGCGGAGGTAAACTGGTCCCAGATAATGACAGAGATATATTGAGTATCGTAGTCATAGGTAATAATAAGTAAGCACATACCTGGTCCCAGATAATGACAGAGAGGTCAAGATAAGGGACCAGGCTGTGGAGGGTTGGCTATATATACATAATCCGGTCTGCGAGAAACGACGATGTAATACTGTACAGTTTAGGAACAAGGAAGGTGGCGGAAGCCAGTAGAAAGAGAAGATGGGTCAGGTGGATCAGTAATCGATGGGGGTTTGACAGTGATGGGATGATGTATCGTACAAGTAAAGGCGTCGAGACGGTGAGAAAAGGAAAATGATAGGGGCTGCGTACTTTATGACAGCTCCACCTTGCTGCCCTGCTTAGTTACCCTGCCTCACTGCCTTGCTTAGTTGCTCCGCTTTCCTGCTCCACTAGTCGCTCTGCCTCTGCCGCTTCGTGACACCCTCTGCCTTTAGACACCTTGTGGCCTCTGGCACATCTTAACACCTCCAAAACTTCACTAGGAAGACAGGATTCCTGTAGAAGGATTTATACAGCATGGACATACACACATTAATTTTCCCAATATTTGTCAGGAAGCAAGCCAAAGAATAGGCAGGGACCGAGACCATAGAAATACCAAAGAAACTCCCATGCCTTGTATCTGCTATTGATTTTTTCAGTAGGATTGTGCGGGGGTCAGTTAAATGACCCAGGAATATATGGTGTGCATGCGGCGACACATTTACCATGTTCTATCCACAAATCTCCATTGAGTACTGCCCAATCCCACAACACACAATCATTGGTTTTATCACACTCAAACTTCCCCCGGCACAGAGGTATGAAGAGATCAGGGGCATTGAGAGTAAATAGATGCATGATGTCACCAGCAAAAAGACCTGGAATTCTGGTTGTATACTGTTTCTGCAAGCCACTAAATATACTTGGCTTTACATTTCCGGTGGCAAGTTGATTTTCCTCATATTGAGAATGGCCAGAGGAAAGAACAATCTGTGCAAGGTTGGCTTGATAGTGAGGGGAAGCTTCCAATGATGTGAATGACTTCAGAAGTACATTAAAGTTGACATCACCATGGATCACAACCTGATATGGAGTAATTATCTGGTTTCTGACATAGAGGATAATATTGTGATGCACCAGCTTTGTGCCATCCAATGAGTGGGCAGTAGAATCAACAGTGAACATGGCCCTGATGTCCAACAAATCCACTCAACATTGCCATAGCAGGACCATTGGCAGTAACCAATGCAAGATGTGGATATGCAACAAATATTTCTCCTGTTTCAGCATTCCAGATCCTCAGACCCTCTCTCTGGGGAGCACCGAGGTGATACAGACCAGGGAATACAAAGCTATCTGAATTCTTTGGTTTCCCGGGACCAGATATGAAACCACTGGGAAGAACAGTGTGCTTTTAATACCGGACATCAGGAGAACAGTCCAAAATAATCCAGATATAGATCTAGCAATTAGATGTCTTGTAATGATATAACTGGGTGCCGTCAATAGAGAGGACAAGGAAAATGTCATTTTCACCAACATCCCCTCTGACAACCTTTTCAATGTATCTGCTTCCATCAAAAAAGTCTTTATAGGGGGATACTTTTACACCTCATTTTCCTGGAGTTCTCAAAGCACTCATTCTATGCACTTTCTCCGGTATGACATGCTGTGCACCCCTTGGAGAATGCCAGAGTGCCTGTAGTTGTGGACCAATAGGAATTGTACAAAACTTCTTGCGCGGTTTTCCATCCTTTCTATTCCTCCTGGAGCTTTCATCAACATCAACATCCTCATATCACTTTTCACCACAATATGGGCAGACTTCGAGCTTGGTGAAAGGCCCTGTGAAACCCAGACACAGATTAAAACACATATCACGGTAGATAGGTGAGACTCCGCTGAGCTGTGTAACAAGATTTTTCACTTTGTAGAAGGAAGGGATATCACTCTCAGGATGTTGACGTAGTATTGCCTCTCGAACTGAGGTATATGTCTGTTTGGCAGCAGTGGTAATTGAAAGGAAGATGTCAATGGATAGTCAATGATCAGGATTGGTTATCATTACTTCTTCTTGCAATGGGGAGCGGAGTTTCTCTAGAATATCATTCTTGAGAGGTTCAATGTCATTTTCAAATGTAGCATTTTTAAGGGGATAAATTCATCTATGAGTTTGATATCATCTATTGATGGAACAAAGTCTGCGGGAAGTGTATCAAAGAAGTCATGATTGTCTTGCTGCATTTCATTTCCAGATTCTTTGTCCTCCTGCATTTCAGAGAAGCTCCCAGAATCAGGAATATGAGGAGGAATTGGTGGCAAAGGAGGAGGGGGAGGAGGAGTTGGTGGGGCACAGAACTTTTGCCGTAATCCCCTGCGACACCAGTCCCACGCAGTGCCGCACAGTTCCGCACACTTTCATGCAGTTCTGTGCAATCTGTAAAAATACAATACTGTGTACAAAATCCTCCTACGAAGTCATATTGCTTCTCAATTTCAGCTTCAGACAATGAAGCTCTATAGGTCCAATTTGATTTTCCTATCCTGAAATTTCATCAAATACTTAAGTTTGTTCAGTATCACTGAATGACTAAACTATCTATTCTGGTGTCTTACTAACAATGATTCCACAATTGAGAGCAAATATGATTGAGCAGATATTCTGAAGCACATCCTTTTCACAACCCTCAGATACGAGTGATTGGTATTTGTGAGATATTCTATGTAGTCATTGCCAATACTGCTATGTGAATAGCAACAATCACATTAATAGTGTGAGGGAGATTGTCTGTTTAATGGGAGTCTTATTGCTTTGGTTGTTGGTAAAAGCTGGGTGCAGAAGTTACATGTAGGATCTGTGCAAGTTATATGCAGATCCGCACAAGTTACATGCAAATCCATGCAGATTGAGGCACAGAACTTTTTCAGTAACAGTTTCTGCAAAGTAACTGCCACACTTCACTGCAGTTCTGTCTACATGTAAATGTATCTCAGTTGCCTGTTTGATTGTTCTAAGTATACTTTTTGTTCAATTGTTTCATGCTCTCTTCCTGTGTGTCAAGTTCAGATATACCTTAGTCATGTACACAAGTAAGAAACTGAATGAATTTCATGTCTATAACACCTGCATGAAAATGGCATACACTGAAAGTACTTGATGAGATTCTTAGAAGCTCATCCATTCACCATTACTCAGCATATGTTTGCATGTATACCTTGTAGCTGCATGCTTCTGCATTGTAAATGTATATATAGTGCAACTGCATGTGTTGTTATTACTTAAATTGTTCCTGCATTGTTACTACACTTATCTCTATAGTTTGTACACTTGCCAGAGATGTTAATTTAATCTGCAAAGTTGATCATAGAGACTATCAAGAAGCCATTGAACTAGTCATCTAGGTCAATACAATTGCAAGGAACTACAAGCTTACTTTTTGACAGTGTTGTAAAGCCCATTTGAGTAGAGAAATCAAGACATGCTCCCACCAGACTAAAAGGCTGGTATACTCTTCAGCATTAAATGAGCCAATCAATGTCATGCTACCCTCAGATACCACTGAAATTTCCAACAACAGGGTGAATAACAGTAATGTAGTGCCATTGCAGGTAAAGTAAAATTTTCTATCTATTGTTTAATCCAACAGTCTCAATGAAGAGACCTCTTTCACCTCTCAATATTATACATTGTTGTCAAAGCCTGCAGTTATTGCCCATTATGTCTAATAGCTGAGGATCAAGCATTTGTTGTTATTGATAGATAATTGAAAGATTGGAAGGATTACTTCAACATACCTAAACAATTACTGTTCTCCCATTACTGAGACTGGACAAAATGCTCATCAAAAGTATAAGATGGTAAGAGTGCAATGCTTCTAGAGTTGGCATTGCATACCTTTCATGATATTGACTAGGACTCAATGATTTATTAAAATGGAACCAATATCAGTAAACTCTTCAAAAAGTATTTGTCAAAGTTCTACTTTGCTCATTAAGTGATCCATGCAAGTTCCGCGCAAGTTACACACATGTTCCGCGCAAAAGTCCATGCATGGTTACGGCAAATGCTAATGGTCCGGAGTTGGTGGGAGCGAAGTCCTCTGGCCAGCTTCATGACATTTGTTTTCTCTATCCGAGTCCTGTAGCAAAAGATATGAGTTCTTATAGATAATTAAAGTTATTTGTACACACTGATTGAAGGATCTCTTCTGCATCATCTATAATCTCTGGTATATCATCAATGTGTTTGCACTTCTGCCTTGGTTTGGAAAGGGCTGCTCCATTGGAGGGATTAGCTATTGGGAGATTCTGAGAGGGGGTATGCTGCGGCATATTCTCTCATTTTTGATGTTGTTTCATGGTGGAATATGCAACTTGTCAACCCGGTCCACTGGGTCCCCCACAAAGTAGATTACATTTACATTCAACAGTTGTTTTTGTTTTCTTCTGAGCTGATCCATTGAGAGGTCCGTCCATGAATGTATGAAATAGCATGACAAGAATAATGAAAATTATAGATTGGAATCGAAGAGGATGCATCCATGGTCAGGGTATGAGATTGAGTTTTGTTTATACTGGTGTTCATGCCACTACATTTGTCAGCAACTGGCTCTAGTAACAGGTGTCACCAGGTGTCACACTCAAGAAAACCTTAGGTGGCAGAGTGATAAGGGAAGCAAGCAAAGTTCTGGGCTAAACCAGGTAGAATAGACAAGATCAAAGCTAAGGAAATACAGCGAGTGACTACAGCTTATATACAAGTAAACAACCCTCTGCCCTAGTAATGCCCAATGCCCTGGGCCAGTGGTAGACATGAGTACTATGACAGGATAATTGTCATAGGTGGTTGGGACTATATATACCACATGTATTAAGACCTCTCCGCATGATCTTAACAAACTCACCTATTCCCACAAAAGATACCACAGTTCTCATCTACAACTAATATAGAGACTGAGTTCGAGGTTTGGACTGCTATGCTCTCAGAAGAGCAGGCACGTTCATGGTGTTTGCATTCTATCAAGGCGTCAAGGTGCTCTTGTACTAAAATCATATGTTAGCATTGCCAGCTGAGATTAGGATGTTGGCTCCATACAGGATGGTTCTTCTTGGGGAGTGAGCTCAACCAGCAAAGCCACTCGCAATTGATGCTCATAAACCGCTAGAGCTATGGCCCTTGTACCAGTCAGAGAGAGAGGAGCGCCTGGACCAGTTGCCATGTGTGAAGAAGGTGTATCTTGGTATTATAGAGTATCCACCAATTCTACTAGAAAATGATGTCAATGCACATCAAGGAGAATCCATACTCACACATTTTTTTCTGTACATTTTTTTTTGAATCCTGTTTATACTGTTGGGACAAACTCCGTACGTACAGCTTTGGCCTCAACCTTACCATTTCCAGACATCGTTCCCAATCCGTATATGCAGATCATGATTACTACATACTGTACAGTTGTAGATGGATCACGCAGACGGACAGTACTCGAGCTCCCTCAGTTGCTTTTACATCAACTGAGGTGAGCTCAATAACATACTAGAATACTCGCACTTACTGATGGTACCCGCTAGTTTAATACTACGTTAACAGGTACCTAAACAATATACAGTTGCTTTTACATCAACTGAGTTTAATACTACGTTAACATATACACCATTGTGCGTCGGCCTTGGGCCCTTCAATGAAGTCCTATCTTTTCCCAAATGTCAGCTTTTGGCTTTCCATCCTTGGCACTGGCTGCTAGTTGTATTATTTTGTTGGGTAGAGCAATTGTGTAGTCCTCTCTGGAGAGCATGAGACTCATGGATACTGCCTTGGCAATCAGGCTTTGGTATCCGTCATCACCGTTGGTACTGGTGTTCTTGCTGGCACTGCTCGGGAAGGTTGGGCTACTGGGAATTTCAGTCTTGGCTGTCCTGGTGGAGGTTCTTTCGATGTGTTTAGGTTGTTACACAACATGCTGGTTGTAACGTGTAATGATTATTAGAGGTAAGAAGAAAGTGTACTCTAGTTCTGAGATACTATGCCTTCCAATGCCTTCAGCTTCCTCCCAAAAAATGTGGGAAGATTCAAAGGTGGTGGCGGTTCTAGATCAAGAGCGGTCTTGTTCTGTACTAATCATTATACATTGCTACAAACCGATGGACTTCTCACTGGGGCTGATACTTGAGTGAGGTATGATTCAAGTAATGCTTTGAATCCTAGAAGTTGATCTTTGCTTGGGTACTATGAGTTGGTCACTCATTCCATAATGTGATAGAGATACACACCTGTGATAGTGCATACACATTCCATTCATTCCAATATAACAGATCTCCCTCCTTTAAGGGTCTCTCCCTTTTGAACCCCGTCCCAAAATCAAACTGTTCTCTCCAATCTACCTCCCCCTTGGTTAGCTCCATTCCCATCCTTGAATACCCCAGTAATTGGCCATCCTGATTTGGTCTTTGTTTTGAAGACCTTTGTTTCAAGCTATGGCAGAGGCTTTTGCAGAAAAGTTTGCAGCAAGATGTACCATGCAGATAATGTTGGAGTGGGCCCAGTGGGGAGCGCCGTAAGTAATGCAGGGTGACAAAAAGGTGACAAGTGCCACAAAGCGTGACAGTCCAAATATGGGGGGGGGGGGAAATCGCTGAAAGAGGAAGGCGAGGTAAAAATTCCCATGCTGGAACCCACTATAAGATGAATCCTTCATTACATTTCGGACTCATAAATCCCAAAGGAACGCAAGAGTGCTTGTGATATGTAACAAAAGTATCATAAAATATCAAGTAAACTGCTAACGCAATGATCATTGCATCTGTCAATCAAACTTTAAACATCAATGCCTATAAAAGATGTCACCGATTATTAAAGCCCATCATTCCCCCTTGCTTTCTACTATCATCATTCATTGCAAGACCAAAGTAACAGTCAGTACATGTGACTTATCCTGTCAAATCATCTAGGCTGATTTATTTCACTTTGATCAAGGTCAACTAAAGTAATCATTCAATGGATACTGTGTATAGTTGTTTCAAGCACCTTTTATTGCAACAACTGATATTTTGAATAATTAGCAGCATGTTTCACAGTGCAAGTAATTTTGCCATTTATGGTGGTAATTTTACAGTCATATGTGGGTTGTTCAAACACAAAAAAAAATTACTCAAAACTCTGAGAATAATATCCTATAGCAAGTGACGAGACCACTAAGATCTATCAGTGGCTTAATGCTCCAGATTGCTCTGCCAATTATGTGACTGCAGCAGACAAAAAATTACCAGGCACTGGCCAATGGATATTTGACCTTGATGAATATAAGAGCTGGAAAGCTGAGCCTGGTGTATTGTGGATTCAAGGATCAGGTTTGATTATCTTGAACAAGAGAAGGATTATTCTTAATAACTATGTGTTGTAGCTGGATCAGGAAAAACTGTTTTGATGTGAGTGATAGAAATGATAAACACAGATTCATTGATTGACAAATATCTATGATAGAACCACAATTTCCGAAGAGATACAACAAAGTAACCCAAATGCTGTCTGGTATCATTATTTTGATACCCGGGATAATAGTGGTCTGAAAAGCACATACCGTGGGTTCTTGTTATCCCTTATCAAGCAACTGGGAATAGGGAATGAAGGAGTCAATCCTGCACTCTATGCTCTCTATAAGTTAAAAAAATTCACTGGCATCACAGCTGAAGAACTTCACAAACTGCTCAAAACCATGATCAAAGAGAGAAATACTGGATACATTGTTGTTGATGCATTGGATGAATGCAAAGAGGCAGATGAGGTAATGAAGTGGTTGTCTGCATACTCAGGTCAACTGTGGATCCTTGTGACAAGCAGACTCCAAGCAAACTCATTTGGAAAGGAGGTTACAGAGATCACACTTCATGGGGGAGAGTCACAAATCAATGAGGATATAGAATTGTATCTCAAGTCAAAAATTGATACTATTACAAGGTTCAAAGGCAAAACTGGGGATCATATAAAGGAATCATTGAGAAATGGTGCTCACGGGGTGTGAGTAGTTTTTTTTTTTTTGTAATTTAGCATAATTTGAAATGATGTTCCAGATTCCGTTGGGTTCATCTGCAAAACCTGTTTTTTCGGCTAATTCTCCGAAAGCAGCTGAGAGCGCTTCCCAGCAGCCAAAGCACCCAGAGCAAGGTTGAAATTTTGCTCTCAGTGCTTTGGGTGCTGGAGAGCGCTCTCCAGCCAGTACCCTTGCTCTGGCGAACATACAGGTTTTGCAGATGTTGATTGCCAACTTGGAGAAGTGCAGAAATGTACTACAACACCAAGTGTGATGAGGGCCCTGGGTAAACTACCCAGAAACCTGGAGGAAACATACCAAAAAGCTCTAGAAAGGTGTCAAAAAGAGGGACATGCAGAAGAAGCACAACAGTTGCTTTTATGGTTGCTCTATGCATATCAGCCATTGACAAAAAAGCAATTCAGTCAAGTATTTGCAGTTGATCTTCAAGAGCAGGTTATTCATCCTTCCATGGAATTCCAAGTTGAACTGGTCATTGACTCCACACTTGTGACTGTGGGGCAGAACAATATTGTCCAACTTGCCCATGCATCAGTTAAGGAGTATCTCATTTCCCATTCTCTACAAAATCAGACCAAAGACCTGTTGGAATTGAATGAACAATTGGCTCATGACATCATGACCCAAACAACTATCATCTACTTGATGCAAACAGAACACATTAGAATGACTATTGATAACAGTTCTATTGCTTATTACAGTGTGAAGAATTGGCTCTCTCATGCATCAAAGGTGGAAGAGTACAAGTTGAAAGGCAAAGCCCAAAACTTGATACAAAGGATGTTAGACAATGACAGCATGCATTTTGGAAGATGGAAAAAAGCATACAGATCTAGGAAAGGAGGAACACCATTATATTATGGAGCATTGAATGGCTTGTGTGAGGTAGTTCAAAAGCTTATTGATGAGCTAGACCTGGAAACTGCCAAAATATATATAAATACAGGTGGTGGTGAACATGGAAATGCACTCCAAGCTGCCTCATATTCTGGGAATAAGGCAATTGTCAAGATGCTACTGGAGAAGGGTGCAGATGTCAATGCACAAGGGGGGAAATATGGAAATGCACTCCAGGCAGCTGTATTCAGAGAAAATGCAGAAATTGTACAGTTGCTGCTGAAGAAGGGTGCAGATGTTAATTCCCGAGGGGGGGAAATGGGGAATGCACTCCAGGCTGCCTCATCAAATGGGAATGAAGAAATTGCACAGTTGCTGCTGGATAAAGGTGCAGAAGTCAATGCACAAGGAGGAGAATATGGAAATGCACTACAGGCTGCCTCATCAAAGGGAAATGTGGTAATTGTACAGTTACTGCTGGACAATGGTGCAGATGTCAATGCACAAGGGGGGGAATATGGGAATGCACTTCAGGCTGCCTCATCTAGTGGGAATGAAGAAATTGCACAGTTGCTACTGAAGAAGGGTGCAGAAGTCAATACACAAGGAGGAGATTATGGAAATGCACTACAGGCTGCTGTATGGTTGAAGAATGAAGCACTTGTCTCATTGCTGCTGGAGAAGGGTGCAGATGTCAATGCAGAAGGTTTCAATACACAAGGGGAGGAATATGCAAATGCAATGGAGGTTGCTTTATGGCAGGAGAATTTGAAGATTCTTCAGATGCTGGTGGAGAAGGGCGCAGATGTCAATGAAGAAGGAGGTGAATATGGAAATGCACTCCAGACTGCTGCATTCTGGGAGGATGAAGCACTTGTCTGGTGGCTGGTGGAAAAGGGTGCAGATATCAATGCACAAGGGGGGAAATATGGAACTGCACTCCTGGCTGCCTCAACAATTGGGAATGAAGCAATTGTACAGTTACTGTTGAACAAGGGTGCAGATGTCAATGCACAAGGGGGTGAAGATGGGAGTGCACTCCAGGCTGCCTCAGGGAAGGGGCATGAAGCAATTGTCAGGTTGCTTCTGGACAATGGTGCAGATGTCAATGCACAAGGGGGGGAATATGGGAGTGCACTCCAGGCTGCCTCAGGGAAGGGGCATGAAGCAATTGTCAGGTTGCTTCTGGACAATGGTGCAGATGTCAATGCACAAGGGGGGGAGGATGGGAGTGCACTCCAGGCTGCCTCAAAAAGTGGGAAGGAAGTAATTGTCAAGTTACTGCTGGACAACGGTGCAGATGTCAATGCAGAAGGGGGGGAAGATGGGAGCGCACTCCAGGCTGCCTCATATTCTGGGCATGAAGTAATTGTTAAGTTACTGCTAGACAATGGTGCAGATGTCAATGCACAAGGGGAGAAATATGGGAATGCCCTCCAGGCTGCCTCAGAGAAGGGGCATAAGGCAGTTGTCAAGTTACTGCTGGACAATGGGGCAGAGGTCAATGCACAAGGAGGTAAATATGGAAATGCACTCCAGACTGCTGTATACAGGAAGTATGAAGTAATAGTACAGTTATTGCTGGACAATGATGCAGATGTCAATGCACAAAGGGGGAAATATGGGAATGCCCTCTATGTTGCCTCATATTCTGGGCATGAAGCAATTGTCAAGATGCTCCTGAAGAAGGGTGCAGATGTCAATGCACAAGGGGGGAAACTTGGAAATGCCCTCCAGGCTGCCTCATATTCTGGGCATAAAGTAATTGTCAAGTTACTGTTGGACAATGGTGCAGATGTCAATGCACAAGGTGGTGAAGATGGAATGCACTCCAGGCTGCCTCAGAGAAGGGGCATGAAGCAATTGTCAAGTTGCCTCTGGAGAAGGGTGCAGAAGTCAATGCAGAAGGAAAGAGATATGGGAATGCAAATGGTTTGTCATCAGCAGTACCAAGTGGGTTAACCCACTCACAAGTCATTCAGGATATTGAGGACTTGGAAGTCCATTCCCAGTCACAATCTCAGCTGCAATCATTACCACCACCTGAATACATAACTTCCCAAGAGTCCAACAGTGAACTATATTCTGACACACCACCAAATGGGTCATTACAGTGGAATCCTGCAACAACAGCAAATACCAATGGTAAACGGAAAAGGGGAGAGAAGGAAGGAATAAATGACAATGTGGATGTGGTTGATAATGATGATAATCCTGTCACAAAGAGGCAGAGACAGAGTGAGTAACTAGAGTGATGAGGCAGAGTCACCGAGCAGGGCATAGGCAAATAGTGCACAAACTAGTCCAAGATAATGACAGAGTTATATTATTACCCCCTTCCATCACTAGATCTGATTGAGGTATCATACATACTAGCTGCCAGAGCCCCAATGCTTCCTTGTTCACTTCCACATCTCTATTTAAGTAGCTTTGTAGCATCCCAAGCCCTCAGCCTAGTATATTTTGATCACACACCCTTTACATAGATCCAGTTCTTTTCCCTTTGTACCTGCTAACCTTACAGATTTCTCTTTATCTCAGTTTAGCTTTACCAGGACCCCTTGGGCAGGTAAGTCATGCTCCCTCTCCCCCTATCTTCATTTTCTGATATTATATTTTCATTCCTCAGAGTCTCTCTGAGTGATTTCAGAAGCTGGAGGAGGATATTTGGGCTGCAAGGAGGGACTGGGATTCGGCCCTTGGGAAGCTGTCTGCCTCCACTTGGAAGAATGTGGAACTCAAGACAATCACCCAAATTTGAAAATCCAAATTCTAAAACCCAAATTCAGACCCCCCCCCCCAGTACCATTTGACGTCCCAAACACCCCCGCCGCCATCAGTACCACTGTTACCACTGCCTACTGGAACAGAGACGTCTCTGGACAAATACAAAAAGGGTAGAGTAAAAGACAATAAGGAGAGACTAGGATGAAAGGGTATGTGTAGCGAGAAAGAACAATAAGAAGGAGATTACAATAAAAGGTAGATCTTCGGAACACTGAGCGGCAGAATGGGGCCCCGAGGCATGGACTTGACAGTATCCCCCTCTTAGGCTTGAGCCCTCGAAAGCCATTAGCATCGGGAATTATTATTAGTCACCTGAGAAAAAATTTTAAAACCCGTCAGCATTGGCAATTATCCCTTTAGTCATCAGGAAAATTTCGTTGGTCCACCGTAAGCCAAGTACAATTCGATGGAAATTTTTAGCTGGTCCGTGCACTGTTTTTCCCTATAAAAGGGCCAGGGTTTTACTGCTATGGTCCTAACTTTCCTCGAGAGTTTCTAAGTCCAAGATGTCCGACAGCCGCACTCAAACTACAACCACTTCTTCCACCGCTGGCCCTTCGCGGTCACACCTCCGCCTCCTGCCAATCCCGTCGGTCAAGAAAGCAAGGACGAGATTCTGAGGAGGGTGCATGAGAAGGTCTGTAGAATGAGGGAGAAGAAGGCAGCAGCAGCGGCCAAGACAAAGGCCGAAGAAGAAGCGGCTAGGAAGGAAACCGCAACATGGAAGGAGGAAAGAAGAAGGTTGTTGGCCGATGTGGCGACCACAAGAAGTCAGAGGGGGACTTCTCCTAGTGAGATGTCAGTTTCCCCATGGAGGCCCATTGTGGAACTTCGGCGGGCGACTAAGAGCAAGGGAAAGGGGAAAGCCAAGACCCAGGTGAGTATCCAATCTTTTGGTTCCTACCTTCTTACTGACATACTACTTTTGCAGCCGGTTGGTGGAGACCCCAATGACGGCAACGACAACAATGACAACAACGAGGACCGAGCGCCCTGCGAGCAGTGCCGAAACACGAAACTCCCTTGCCAGATGCAGGCTGGCAAGAGGAGTTCCATCATTTGTAAACCCTGCCATGACGCCAAGGTGAGGTGTTCATACTCGGGTCATCCTACAACCTCGAAACAGCGGGAAGGCGGCTCCGGCGAGCGCATCGCTGGGATGGAGAGTCAAATGGTGCAGAGTCTTGCTGACCTCCGGGCCCTACGGGAGGCCAACTCAAAATCCCATCAATACCTGCGCCAGTTGTTGAGAAGACAGGAAGACAACCATGCCCGCCTTATAGCCATGGAGATGAGAATGGCGATGATGGGTATGGGGGAAGAACCAGCGACGGCGGGACCATCGAAGAGGAGTACCGAGCGGCAGCAACCGCTGAAGCGACAAAGGGTCATGGAGGAGAGTGAAGAAGAAGAGGAAGAAGAGGAAGAAGAAGAAGAAAAAGAAGTGGAGGAGAAGGGAGTAGAGAAGGATGGAGAGGGAGAGGAGGAGGAGACGGTGCCGACGGAGGCGCGATCGCAGAAGGGAAAGGAGAGGGCAGAGGAGTAGTAGGAAACGGACATTGGACCTCGGTCCTTTGGCCTCTTCTTGTATTCTTATCCCTGTTACATATAATTTTTTGGTTTTTTGTATATAAGAAAATGTTATTGTATCTTGAAATCAGAAGCAAATGGGCCACGATGCGGCGCAAGAACTAATTAGTTTGAACTATAAGTAGTATAGCGTGCATGAGAAACTGAGTGAAACATTTATAGAAGAAAAGAATAAGCAATTAAGAGAGAGGAGTAAACACTCAATTTGCTATCATTGTGTTTACCCTCTCGACGCAACGAAGTAATCTTCGGCGGAGAACAGGATTTCGGGGAAAGGAATAAAATGTTTTTTATGATCAAGGTCCAGGTTTTAAAGGGTATCGAGCATGGAATGCGGGTACCAGTTCATCAGCAGCAACCCAGGAAAATTGATCGTTGGTACCTTCATAATTGGCCCACCGAATATAATAACGCAGAGGACAACGCTTATACCTTCTGTCCAGCTTGGAGTCCAGAATTTTGGCAACGTTGTACTCCTCTTCACCATCAACTTCAATTGGAGGTGGAGGACATTGAGTACGATTCGGGAATGGATTCCGCGTAACTGGCTCCAGCTGTGAGACATGGAAGACCGGGTAAATTCGGCAAAGATAGTCTGGGAGCTGGAGCTCATAAGACAAAGTACCCGGTTGACTGATGACCTTGAAAGGACCAAGATATTTTTCAGAGAATTTTTCAGTAGGACAAGTAGATCAAATGTGCTTAGCAAGAACAAAAACTTCGGAGCTGATCGGGAGCTCCAGGTGCGAGATTCTTTTCCTGTCAGCTTGTTCCTTGTAACAAGATTGAGCTAGAAGGATTTCCTCTCGAAGGAAGACGTGGAGTTCATCGAGGTTGACAACGAAGTCTCTAGCTAAATCAGACTCCATGTCGACCTCGGGCCGAACGGTGATATTTGGATGGTATCCTTTGTTAGCGAAAAATGAAGTAATACCAGTGGAAGTATTGGGAGCATTGTTATAGGCGAACTTGGCGATCGGGAGTAAGTGCGACCAGTCATCTTGTTGGTAGGAGCAATAGATCCTGATGTACTGCTCGAGAGTTTGGTTGACACGCTCAGTCTGCCCATCGGCTTCCGGATGATATCCAGAGGTATAGTGAAGTTCCATGGAGAGCACTTTACTGAGAGCCCGGAAAAACACTGAAACAAATTCAGAACCACGATTGGAAGTAACATGATTAGAGACACCATGCTTAGAGATAGTCCCCGGAGATTGAGAGTATAGAAGAGAGGAGCTGTCAAGTCCATGCCTCGGGCCTCCATTCCGCCGCTCGGTACTCCGAAGATCCATGGTTTATTGTAATCTCACTCTTATTGTTCTTTCTCGCTACACATACCCTTTCGTTCTAGTCCCTCCTTATTGTCTTTTACTTTACCCTGCAGGTACTACTCATATAGCTCCTAGTAGTTAGTCTAGTGCTCCGCACCGATGCGCCGATCCGTAGATATAAATACTGCCTGTACGCTACTGTAGTTCCTCAGTTTAATTATCAACTTAGATCTCCCTTCTCAACTTAGATCTCCCTTCCAACTTAGCTCTTCTCTAAGTCTTCAGGCTCTACGCCTTGGAGTACTCTCTACTATAACCTTAGGACTAAGACATTCTCTGGTTCGCTCCTCGTCACCGGCGATACCGCCGCTCCGACTTGGCTGCTCCTCAGTTCCTCCCTTCTCTACTCTCAATCTCCGGGGACTAACGGCGTAACGGCGGTGTTGTTAATAACTTCACTACTGTCCCACTCGTCTTCCGCACTTAGACACCTTGTGGCTTTGGCACGGTTACACGGTGTACATGATCTTAACACCCTTTCTCCGAATCCATTTCTGCTATCGGTCAACCAAGTCACCGTAATCGCGGTTTTGGTCCAGCCACAGTTCCTACTACATCGACTCTTCCTGAAGCTATGGAATTGTATACTGGTGATGGACAACCTGTCCAAGTTTTGACCCCTCGCCGTGGACAACCCCCCATGGTCGCTCCGGCTCGGGGCCGGTCTATTACTTGAATTGAATCTCCAATCCTCCAAGCTATAGCCCGTTGTACTGGAAAACAACTTCAATGTCATGCTACTTCAGAATCTCCTCATGACCCGCCTCCTCACTTCGATCTGGACGCTGGTGATCACGATGATCAAGACCCTCCTGTCGACCCCGACCATCTGGGTGCCAACAACGACAATGCTGACCACGACAATCTGGATGACGACTCCAGTGATTTACCGCATGGTGAGCCTGGTGGTCCCAGCGGTCCTGGCAGTCCTGGTGGACCTGGTGGACCCCATTCTCCAATCTCTCCTGACATCCCCAATGAGCAACGTGCTATGTTGGAACTCCTCTCAGGATTCAAGGGTTCCATTGAAACCCTTGGTACTGTTCTCGCCGCTCTTGGCCGACCCTCTGACAGCTCTGAAACTAAGAGCAACGTCAAGGAGCCAGAGGTATTCAACGGTTCGGACCCCCGAAAGCTCAAGACATTCTTCGTCAATCTCGCCCTGGTCTTCAATGACCATCCAAAGTATTTCATCGACCAACGGAAGGTGAATTATACTCTTTCCTATCTCAGTGGGTCAGCCAAAGAATGGTTTGTCCCTGATATTCTCGACCCGGATCTTGACTCGCTGCCAGCCTGGACGTCCTCCTTCAAAGCCCTTGTAAAGGAGCTTCAGGACAATTTCGGCGTTTACAACGCCCAAGGCAAGGCCAAAGATTCTCTTGGTAACCTGAAAATGAAGGAAACTGAAAACATCCAGAAATACAACATCCGGTTCAACACCCTGGCTGCTAGCACCAACTGGGATTCTGCTGCCCTGACATGGGCTTATGGACAAGGTTTGGCTGAACGCATTAAGGACGAAATGGCGCGTTTGCCTGAGCCAGCGACGCTCGCCGATTATCATCAAGAGGTTCTTCGTATTGACAACCGTTATTGGAAGCGCAAAGAAACTAGAAAGCATGAGGCTGGTAAGCCTTTTATTGCTCAGAACCCGAAGAAGGGTTCCTCGGACTTCAAAGCTGGTTCTACTAACCAGCAAAACAACTCTCAGCCATCTGGCTCTTCGGCGCCATTCACACCAAAGCCTAAACCTTTCTCTGGAGGGAAACCTAACAACAATGGCAAGCCCCAGAACTCTTCGAATTCTGGCCAATCCGGCGGTCAGCACCCCGAGTTCAACCATCTCGGTGCAGATGGGAAAGTCCTTCCCTCCGAAAGGGAAAGAAGGATGAAGAACAACCTTTGTCTCTTCTGCGGTGGTAAGCATCAGATTGCTGACTGCAATAAGCAAAAGGCCCAAGAATCGAAGGGCTGCGTGCTGAAGTTGAAGAAACCCCCGAAGCAATGCCAATCGTTGTTGAAGAGGAATTGGAAAACTGGTCTGCAGCTCTTGTTCCCCGGTACGAAACGGGAGCTGCATTGATCAGGTTCGTACCTCACCTGGGGAGTTATATCTCAATGCATCCGCTCTTTCTTCCATTGAACGATCTCTTGTAATATCATTAACTACTGAATTTCTGTTATCCGACTTGGCCGCGCCGGCTGAACCTATCTCTGCTCTTCTTAAATTTCCTACTCTTGTTGATTCTGGTTCTACTGACTCTGTCATGAAGTACGTAGCCCCTATCATTTTCCTTTTCTCACCATCTCGATGCCCTTACTTGTACGATTACATCACTGTCATCCCATTGATTACTGATCCACCTGACTCCCATCATTGATTACTGATCCACCTGACCCCCATCATTGATTACTGATCCACCTGTTACCCTTCTCCTTCTACTGGCTTCCGCCACCCTCCTTGCTCCTAAACTGCACAGTATTACATCGTCATTTCTTGCAGATCGGATTATGTATATAAAGCCAGTCCCTCACAGCCTGGTCCCTCATCTTGACCTCTCTGTCATTATCTGGGACCAGGTATGTGCTTACTTATTATTACCTATGACTACAATACTCAATATATCTCTGTCATTATCTGGGACCAGTTTACCTCCGCTCCGCTTAGTCGCTCCACCTTGTTGACCTGCTTAGTCGCTCCGCCTCACCGCCTTGCTTAGTCACTCCGCTTTCCTGCTCTGCTAGTCGCTCCACCTCTGCCGCTTCGTGACATTAGGTCAAGATCCATTACTGCACTGACAGCCTACCGATAAGGTTGTCCTTGCAGGATCTGCATACATCACATCTTCTATACCTGTAGACCCTTCTGCTCTTACCGCTACAACAGACTGCTCTGCTCTCCAACATGCACTTGATCCCAGAGATCAACACCACGTCCATCAGATTGACAACACCTGGTACGACTGCGACTCCCAGCCTTGCCCCCACATGCTTTCCAATTCAGTCCAGAACCTATTCACTGTAGACGATATAACCTTCCTGCCAATTCCCCATCCCCGATCACCCACTCCAATCATGTCTGACCCTGCTCAACCCACTCAACCTACCCCTACACCACCCACTGCAAACAACCTCATGGCACAGCTTATTAAACAGGTAGCCAACCTAGCCACAGCCATGGAGGAATGTTCATCTGCCAGGTCAAGCATGAATAAACCCGAGGTATTCAAGGGTAAAGATAGCACTGAGGCGCATCGCTTCATGGCTCAGTTCCAGAACTGGGCATTGGAACAACCTGATCTCACCAAGAGTCAGGCAAAGCTTATCAAGTCAGCCCTAGGGTTCTTCACTGAAAGTGCGGGTGACTGGGCAACCCCACATTTGCTACATTTTAATGCGGAAAATCCCCCCTTTGGAGGAGTTTGGGAAGAGTTCCTGAAAGAGCTCGTTCAGCACTTTGAGTCAGTAGACCCGGGTATGGAAGCTCACAGTGAGATCAAAAATCTCAAGCAAAGTAAAGGTCAGACAGTTGCGGAATTCACTCAGAAGTTCAAGGATATTGGGGATCGGACTGGAATGTCTGACATTGATTTACGGGAATGCTTTTTCACTGCCCTACTTC